ATGAGTTAGATTTGCATGGTAACTGGGACAATAGGATTAAGTGTGTTGGAGTCAATGAGACTGGCTCATTGGTAGGGCTGTTCAGAGCTGTTGTATATAGGGTCACTGTGAGTTGCAGGCAACTCCACATGTAATAACAACATAGGCATTGAGGACTTTTTTCCCAAACCACAGCTCACAGTCATCAATTCTTCTGTTGTACTTATTCATTACCCGGCTTTCAGATGGAAAGCAAGTGATTGAAAAAATACTTTGGCTTAAATCAGGTACACATTACTCTTTAAACTGTTATCATTACTCCTGATTAATCTGAAGCAGTACCTGACAGCAGACTTGCTCTGTACAATATATCTCCTGGCCTCCTGACTGTTAGTATCAAGGGTGTTCATTATGGATCCATGTAAAATGACATCATTGACAATATTATATTTTTTTTTCTCCATCTATAATAACATTGTTTATTGGTCCAGTGATGAGGACTTTTGACTTCTTGATCTTGAGATTGAATGTATATTGAAGGCTGTAGTTTTTGATCTTCGGCAGCGTGCATTTTAAGCCCTCCTTAATTTCAACAAGTAAGGTTGTGTCGTCTGCATAACATAGGTTGTTGATGCGTCTTTCTATCATGCTCCCATATTCATCACAGAGTCTGGCTCCATGAAATGTTTGCTCAGCATACAGATTGAACAGGTATGGATAAATGATATAATCTGATGTTCAGCTTCTTGTTTTACACCATACAATGATCCCTTGCTCTGTTTGGACAACAGCTACTTAGTCTTGGTATAGGTTTTTTATGAGCATAATTACAGGTTCACGGATTCCCAGTCTTATTGGTGTTAGCCATGACACTTGCCAGTGTTATGATTTACACATCAAATACCTTTTCATAATCAATAAAATACAATCTGGTATTCTTTGGTATTACCTAAGGTCTGTCTGGCATCAGTAATGATGTTCCCAGTGCCATGATCTCTTCTAAACCCAAGCTGAACGTCTAGGACTTCTCTGTAAATGTAGAGTCTATTCATTTTTTTAAAAAAAAATTATCTTCATCAATAGTTTACTCGCATGTAACACTATATTGTTCAATCATTTCCACATTCTCTGAAAATGCCTTCCTTGATAATGACAACTAATACGAATTTCTTTTAGTCAGTTTACCGAGTAGCTTTCCTCCAACTTTCCTAGCATAAACTTGTGAGAACTTGAATACATATGGAGAAAAAATACAACCTTGACATATACCTTTTATAATGTTAAGTAATGCAGCATACATTAAAGAAGTCTGATGTCAGGGACCTCTCCAGAGTGCTGAGGAGCAATAGCATCAATCTAGAGACTAAGGTGCACCTAACTCAGGCCATAGTCTTAGCAGTTACGTGTTATACATCAGAGAAATGAACAATAACTAAAAATGATAGGAAAACAGTTGATGCTTTTGAGTTGTGGTGCTGGAGAAGAGTGTTGAGCATATCATGAACAGCCAGGAGAACAAATAGGTTGCCTTGGAGAAATGGGAACCAAGTTTATCCTTGGAGGCAATGTTTTTGAAACTCCATCTCACATATTTTGTGCATGTAACCAGGAGGGACCAGTCCTTGGAGAAAGACATCATGCTTGGAAAGGTGGAGGGACAGAACAGGAGAAGAAGGCCCTGGATGAGGTGGATTGACATGATAACTGGAGAGATGAGATTAAGTGTGTCTGAGTCAGTGAGATGGGCTTAGGATAGGGCAGGGTTCAGAGCTGTTGTAAATAGGGTCACTGTGAGACGCAGGCAACTCCACAGCACATAACAACAATAACAGTGTTCCTTTGTTCTCTCCTGAAAAATGGTTCTTGGTCTATGTATAGGTTTCATATGAGAAAAATGAAATATTCTGAGATGTCCATTCTTCTCAATTTTGTTCATAATCTTTTATGATCCAAAGAGTCAAATATCAATGCATACTCAACAAAACACGGATCAATATCTTCCTGTTATTCTCTGATTTTAGCCAAGATCCATCTGATGTCAGTGGTGTTAATTCTAGTGCCACAGCCTCTTTTGCCTCTTGAATTTCTGGCAGTACCCTGTTGATGTACTGTCCTAAATGTTTTGAGTAGGCTTCAATATTTTACTTTAATATAAAATTAATGATATTGTTTGATAATTTTTGTATTCTGTTAGATCTCCATTTTGAGAATATAAATAAATATGGACCTCTTCCAGTTAGTTGACTAGATAGTTATCCCCAAAATTTCTTAGCACGAGCTAGTGAATACTTCCAGGACTGCATCTGTTTTCCTGTTATATGTCAATTGACAAGTCCATTACTTCCTGGACTCTTACATTTTGTCTATGCATTCTGTGCAGCTTGTACTTCTTCTTCTTCATCATTATTGATCCTTCATCTGTGGGTCTTAAAGTGGTTTCATTATAGACAATTCTTTTTTCTTTTTCTTTTTTTTTACAATTACTTTATGCTTTCTGTCTTTCTCCTTCAGAGCCACTGGTAGGTTCAAACTACTACTAGGATGACTTGACCGTTTGGTTAGTAATTGGATGACAATGAGATGAGTGATGGTAGTTATTAAAAGGGAGCCCTGCTGAAGTAGTGGGTAAGGAGTTGCATCAATAACCTAAAAGTCCTACCTCTCTATTAGTTTGAATTAAATAATGACTGTGCAGGAGAAAAAGGGACCTTCTTCTTCAACAGGTTTTACTGTCTCAGAAATCCAGTGGTAGGTCAGCCACAAGTTGGTTCTTACTTGACGCCAATGAAGGAGTTATTAAAATGTGGAAAACTCAACAAAAAACTTTTTTCTTCAAATGATTGATTATATTTTTTTTAAACTTGAATTAATATCCATATAAAAAGATATTTAAAATTATTTTTTTAGTATATATTGGTTTTTGTTGTTACCATCTCAATCACCATAAATTTGTTTTTATTAGGTGCCATCAAGCCAACTATGGCTCATAACAACCCCAGGACTAACAGATCTGAGCCTTGCTCTATCCTGCACCTCAGGATCTATGGCCCATCCAATCCCACTCGGGGAGTCACTGAGTCAATCCATCTCATGGATGATCTTGGTCTCTTTCAGTCACACTCTGCTTTTTCCAGCATGCTGTCATTTTCCAAGGACTGACTCCTCTTGAATATTTACCCAAAATCAGTGAGGCAGAGTTTCACCATCCTTGCCTATATGAAATACTTGGATTGCTCTTGTTTGCTTTTTTAGCTGTCTATGGGACATTCAGTACTCTTCTCCAACACTATAATTCAAAGACATCAATTCTTCTGTCATCCTTACTCAGAATACGAATTTCAAATGCATATGATGCAACTGAAAATACATGTCTTGGGTTTTAAAACAAAACCATTTTTCTTTAGTACTTTGGAGACACCTCTGAAAGCATATCTCCCAATGCAAAATATCTTTTGATTTCTTGAGTGCTGCCGCCATGATTGTTGCAAGTAAAATAAAATTGCTGGTAACTTCAATCTTCTCTCCATTTTTGATGATGTTGTTGATTGGTCTAGTGGTTAAATTTTTTTCCCCTTGACTTTGAAATCTAACCCATATTGAAGGATGTAGTCATTTTCTGCAAGGTTATATTACATGTATAACCCAGGATGTTAATGAATCTCCCTCCAATCCAAATGTCACATCCATCTTCATCAAGTGATTTGTTCAGCATACAGAGTGAATAGGCATGAAGAAGATATAATCCTTATGGTCACATTTTGTGACTTTTTAGTATGCAGTGTTTCCTTGCTGTGTAAAAGTATCTTCTTGGTCTATATATAGGTTGCACATAAGCACAGTCAAGTTTTCTTGCCGGTGTTAGCCACAATTTGTCATGTTACCCATGGTCAATTGCCTTTGCATAGTCAATAAAACACAGATAACCCTATATCTGATATTCTCTGCATTCAGCCAAGATACAGTTGACATCAGCAATGATACAGCTCATGTCCTGTGACCTCTTCTAAAAATAACTTGAAATTTGGGCAGCTCTTTCTCCGTGTACGGTTACAGATATTTTTAATAATCTTCACCAAAACATTGTTGTATACGATTACAGATACTGTTCTATTGTTTCCATATTGTGTTGGAAGAAAAAAAATGAATATCTGCCAGTCATTTGGCCAGTTAGCTGTCTTTCATATTTACTGGCCAAGACTGATGAGCACCTCAGTTGATATCATCAATCCCTGGAGATGTATCTTTCTGTCAGTCCTTCAGTACTGCTTGGACTGCTCCCTTCAATCTTGTTGGTTCTTGGTCATATACTATTTTTTTTAATTGATTCTGTTTCAACCAATTCTTTATGGTACACTGACTCTAATGCGTTATTAAAACATGGACAACTGGAGGGAAGTTTCACTGTCTTCCATTGAGGGATAGCACTTTTATGACCTAGCCTTGATTAAAATAAATAACATACAATTTCATTTTTATTTAAAAATAGCTTAGAGGGCAAGATTTAAGGAAAAAAAACACTTTGATTTAGTTTAATGTTTAGGAAAAGATACTTATTCGAGAGCAATAAATTTTACAACCCCTCCAAATTTACTTATGTTTATAGAAGTGTCAGGATGTGTGTGTGTGTGTGTGTGTGTGTGTGTAAGTACCACTTATCCAATGCTGTTTTGACTCTATCAAGAAATAATTGACTGTGTAATATGTATCAAGAACTACCATGGTTCTATAATATTAGAAGTGAAGTAAATGCAATTGAAAATCTCACTTAAAAGCTGCCACAAGGACCTGTAAGTGTAAGTAATAACTAGACACTACATGATCAGAGAATAGTAACAATGAAAGCAGTTAAATATAGTAAATTGTTTAAGTGACAAGTCTATTAAAATGCAAGAAAGTCATTAGCATCTAACAGATTATGCCTTTGCCAGCTCATTATGTCAAGTGCCTATAATTTTAAGATATAATAGAAGGACTAATGATGCTATGACAGTGCTCGGGCTTAAGAGTCTGTTTTCTGCCAGATACACTGTCGACCGACACACTGATATGGACCGAATTTTTAATATCCACTCGGAAAATGGCTCTATTTTCACTTTGAAACCCCTTGACCGAGAATCATATCCTTGGCACAACATCACCGTTACAGCCACAGAAATAAGTAAGTTGGAAATAAACCCATTTGAACACATTATCTTTTATGAAAGTGGTGAAATAATAGTATTAAATAGACTTTTTCTTTGAGTAGATAATTTAGCATTAAAACCATATGGGGAAATGATTTTGAGGCCTTTATATTTTTATATTGTCCAAAGGATTACCAAGCTATTAATTTAGTTTAAATTTGAGCTCTTGCTATATCTCGTGAAAAAGAAATATAATTTAACCTCAAACAAATTATTATTTTCCTAAGAAAATAATCTTCTATAAAAAGTATTTGTTCTCGGTCACATACTTCTCCTTTTACCTACCATCTGGGCCATGTGAGCAAGCTGAGATATTCCTGAGCAAGCCAGTTGAGAAGGTGAACACCACGAACAGGTTCCGTTGCTAAGTTACAAATGAGATGAGCAGCATCCCTGCTTCTATTCAAACAAGCTGAAATCTTATGCCTGTTCTCTTTGCAGACAACTCAAAACAAAGTAGTCATGTGCCTGTCTTCATCAGAATTTTAGATATAAATGACCACGCGCCGGAATTTGCTACCTACTATGAAACCTTTGTCTGTGAAAATGCAAAACCTGGCCAGGTAAATAAAAACTTACTCAAACTTTCTTCTATTTTCTCCCTTCAAATCAAATGAGACTCCATTAAATTATTTCCAGGACTTTTTTCCGCCATGTAGACTGTTGTCATTTACATACTACACTCTGTTAATATAAAAGACATCATTATTTTGTTAGTTGCATTTTGCTACAGCTAATAATTCTGTCAGGACACATTGGTTTTATATGTTTTGGGTTTGAATGACTTTTTTCCTTTAACTTTCATATTACTGGAATTAAAAAGTATAGACATGAAAGAGTTATAAAATCTTATCTAAAGTAATATTTTATTACCAAAATATTTTGAAATATTTAGAATATTTTTTTTGCAATGGCAATAATATATTATTTTATACTGACACCATTTGCACAGAATTTACATTAACCAAAAAGAATTTTAAGTAACTGTGGAACTCTGGGCCTGGTAAATGACACCAAAATCAGTTGGTTTAAATCCCCCAGGATTGCCTCAAGAGATTTGTGAACAATATCCTCCAGTGTGATTCGTAATCTCTGAAAACTTTCTGCAGACTCAGTTTTGTCTTGATTTCAATTTGATGATGATGAGTTTGAAAACTTTTTTGATAGTTGTGGTTGTTGAGTAGAAATCGACTTGTAACTGACCGTACAGTGGATTTTCAAAGGCTGGAAATCACACTGCATGAGATTGCCTATCTTCCTTCCATGAATGCCCTCGTAGACTAGAAACACTGGGGAAGCACCTATTTTGGGGTTAGCAGTAGAACTCCCCATGGATTGGTTACATTACCAGGCTAGTCAAGACCTATTCACAGCAATCTTTCAGAGGGTTTCAAGAGTTGAAATATCTTTCTGGGAGTAGACTGCTCATCTTTCTATCTGCAGGAGGCTCGTAGATTTGCATCTCTATCTTACAGTTAGCAGCTAAATACAGCTCACTTCACGCCATCAGAATTTCATACAGGCATAGAATATACACTCAAAAACCCATTGCCATAGAGTAAGCTCTGACTCATAGTGACTTTCCCCTGTATCTTTAAAATACACACAGACACACAGACACACACACAACCCCCCCCACAAAGTATACATACACACATGCATGTTTTTGTTGTGTGTGCCGTCAAGCTGGAACGGACTCATAGCTTACTCTCCAGTGAGTTTTCTGAGGCAGTTAATTTCACCAGAAATTACTCATCTTTCTAACATGGATCAGCTTTGTCCTGCATGCCTTTGAAATTGCAGCACAGCTTCTTATCACTAGACCACAAGAGGATACACACATATGTGTGTATGTATATGTATGTATATATGTGTACATATATTTAAGAATATTCCAACTCAACAGTTCATGACAATATGACAATATATATGTATATATATACATATGTACACACACACACACACATATTTGTTGATGCCTTCAAGTCAAGCATAACTCATAGTGACCCTATGAACAAAAGGCCTGAAACCCCTCTACAAATATTAGAAAAAGAGTCACCTCTAACCCCTTCATGTCTTTTCAGATATTCTAAATTAATTGTAATACAAATTTTCCCCTATAGCCAAAAAGACATATACCGCACACCAACACAGAATCTTTAGTTTATTAAATTAAACTTTTTTATTTAATGCTTACTCTTTATAGTACAAATATAATTAGTTTATTCAACTACCCTCTTTTCAGTTAACTTTCATATTCCAACAAAATATCACTGTTATCTGAAGGATTCACATACTACTGGAATTCTTTGCTTTTGACAAATCTTCAAGGAAGAATACATTGGGCCTTTAAATATTGATAGATTCTGCCAACTAACTGTCCAAAAATATAGCATATAAGGTGATCCAAAATGCTTTGCGTTGATTCAATCCAACTTGTTGTGACCTTGTAGGACAGAATAGAATATGATTTTCAAGACTATGACCTTCATGGAAACAGATTGTCACATCTTTATTCTGCTGAGTGAATTGGTCTGAACACGCTGCGTTTTGATAAGCAGCCAAGCTCCTAACTACTGCTCCACTAATTTCCTACTGTAAAGTGAAATTTCCATCAAAAATATATTATTGCTAAGTAACACAGACAATATTTAATTTTCAATATCTGGATATATGTGTACAAATCCTAATAGTTTTAATATTGATTCCCACAAAATTTTTGTGTTTGAACATTTTTCTTTAAAGGAATAGGCATTAAAAGATATATACATTTAAGCTCATTTAACTATTTAATGTATCTTGTTTTGATTTATGTGATTTATTACATTTGTAACACTGTATTGAATAACAAATTTTCATTGACATTGCCTTATTATGGCTCTATATGTAATAGTAAAATTTTTATGACAGAATAATTTATGTTGAAAAATATTTTCTAAATAATAATTTTTTATTTTTCTAGAAAGTATTTTTGTTAAAATAAACAATTAATATATATTTTTGTCAACAAATATATATATTCATAAATTGTGACAAAGCAATGATCCAAGTACCCCCAATCAAAGCATTATGATGAAAGAAAAGTATTGTTCACGACTTAAAACATTAAATTTGATTTATCATTTTGTTCTCAAAATGAAGAGAAAAATGAGTAAGAATACCAGATTTTATAATTTCATAAGTTGCAATCCAATTCTCTATGGGAAAAAAGTATGTTAAATGTATATTAGTAGCAAAGTATCTTATATAAATAATATGTAAACAAATAACAGTCACTAAAAACATGTTTTTCTCTTTGTCAATAAAATGAATAATGCATTTAATTAGTCAAATATTGCCTACTGAACATGGAGAATGATATGGTTATAGAAGATGTTCCATAGGTATGAAGCAAACAGAGACAATGGGTAATTGAAAGTACTAAGAAATTAAAATAATTGCTTATTATAGTACTTTGGACTATTCTATCTAGAGATCTCGATATGTTGCAACAGGTTTTGTGGTTTTTGTTTTGTTTTGCAAGAAATAGCTGAAACTAAAGGTAATTAAATGTTTGTGATTTCACGTCACACAAATGACAGATTGAAGACTAGAAAAATAGGCACCCTGATGTGTACCTTACTGTTTTTTTTCCATTGTAAAAATGAAATTTTTATGTGCAGTCTGTTGTTTGTTGCTCCATTCTACACTAGTGGTTTGACTAACCTGAAGTGAGCATGGCCAAGAGGTTCTACAATGTCTCACTTTTTATGTTTTGTTGTTATTGTTTTTAATTTTTTCTTTTTATT